TTAATGTAACTCTCAATGTATTCTTTTATATTTTTGTTTTTTTAAATGTGTATGAGTGTTTTGCCTGCATGTATGTAAAAGTGCACCTGTACATGTAATACCCGTGGAGGCCAGAAGAGGGTATCAGATCCCCTGGAACCGGAGTTACAGACAGTTGTTAGTTGCCATATGGGTGCTGAGAACTGAACCCAGGTCTTCTGCAAGAGCAGACAATGCTCTTAACTGCTGAGCCCTCTTCCCAGCCCCTCTCAATGTATTGTTGAAGAAACATCCTTAAAAATGCGTATACATGCTTTAGGAAAAAATAATTATGAATTCTGGTGCTTTAAGTGCCTTCTTATTACCTTTGGAGGTGATAGATTAACTCTCGTGCAAAAAGCCATTACATTATTTATAGTAAAAGGAGAAAATATTTTTATACTTTCTTTCATTCTGTGTCTTTAAAAAGAAACCACATTGAAATTTTTCATTACTATTACCTATCCAGGGTTTCATAGGAGTCGTTTCCAAGAGCTGTGCAAACAGACACACACACAACAGAAAAATCACACTTACGGAGTACACATTAAATGTAGAAGGTAATGTTTAAAATGTATCCTACCAGATGTAATGGTGTATACTGTAATCCTAGCTAGTGGGGAGGATGACATAGGAATGTTTGGTTTAGTAATTTCGCACCAGACTAGAAAACATAATGAGACCTCATCCCTTTAACACACACACACACACACACACACACACACACACACACCCTCTCCCAGATTTTCCCAGGGTGGGATTGTTGGGGCTTTCTCAGAGAAATTTTGGGTGCTCTAAGTGGGGGGGTTGTGGCGGGGGAGGGGGGAGACTGAGAACCTGTTTTTCAACAAAATCTCAGTTTCTTATTTTCAGCAAGCTTAGGAAACTGGCAGCATACCTTAACAGAGGCCTGAGTACAGGTCTAAATACCTCAAAATGATTAGCAATATGATTAATAACTCATACGCCCTTAACCAGTTAGAGAAATGGATTATCAGCAACAGAACTAAGTTTATCAGAATATGGGTGGTAACCAGATAATCATATTTCTTATGTGATTGGCCGAAAAGTTCAATAAGCTGACTTGGAAGTAGTTGAATTTTAAGGGCAGTAATAGATATTTGTAGAAGAATTTAGGGATTTGTTTACCTTATAGGGATTGAAGTTTATGATCATGTTAACCATGAAGCTCTTGACATAGATTATTACCGTATTTTATGTGTGTATGGCTGGGGCGTGGTGGTACAGGCCTTTTAATCCCAGCACTCAGGAGGCAGAGGCAGACGGATCTTTGTGAATTAAAGGCCAGCCTGGTCTACATAGCGAGTTCCAGGTCAGCTGGGGCTCAGGGAGACTCTGTCTCAAAAATACAAAAAAAAAAAAAAAAAAAAAAAAAAAAGTTTAATCTCAGGCTAGAGAAATGGCTCAGTGCATTAAAGCATAAAGTGCTCGTTGTGCAAACAAGCGTGAAGGTGGAGTTTGGGATCCACAGCACCCACATAAAAGCCAGGTATGGCAGTGCATACCTATAATTTAAGTGATGGAATGTGGGAGTATGAAGATGTGGAAACAGCCAGATCCTAGGGGCTCACTGGCCACCCAGTTTAGCCAATAGGTGAGTTCCAGGTTCAGTGAGAGACTGTTGGTGAATTGTAGCTGATAAGTAACTCTATACATATACGTTAAAAATAAGGTGGCACACACCTTTAATCCCAGCACTCAGGAGGCAGAGGCAGGTGGATCTCTGTGAGTTCAAAGCCAGCCTGGTCTACATAGTGAGTTCCAGGACAGCTGGGGCTACGGGGAGACCCTGTCTCAAAAAGACCAAAATAATGAATGAATGAATGAATGAATGAATGTTCTAGAATGCTGTTTTGTGCCAGACAGTATACCAAGCATCTTTAAATGTCGTTTATTATTAGTTCTCACAGCAAACCTATGATGTAGGGTTTTTTTAGTAGCCACACTACAGAATTAACTGGTGGAATACAGAGAGGTTAACTAACTTGCCCATTGTTACAGATTTTGTTTGCTTGGGTTTTTGTTTTTGTTTTTTTTTAATTTGGAGATAGCCTTAAATAACATTTACTGAGAAACTTACTTTCCTAATGTTTAAACTTAGTGATGCTTTGACTTATTTAAAGGAATCGTTTCTTTTTAAAACATTTTTTTGGATTGATTGTTATTCTATGTGCATGAGTGTTTTGGCTGTATGTAGGTGCACCTGTGTTGTAGCCCATGGAGGCTAGAAGAGGGCATTGGTGTCTTTGGAAATAGAATTACAGGTAGTTGTTAGCCACCTAGTGGGTGCTGAAAACCTGACCTAGGTTCTCTGGAAGAGCTGCTAGTGCTCTTAACCACTGAGCCATCTTTCCAGCCCCTATTCTTTTTTCTTAAAATTTGATTATTTAGGGGCTGGAGAGGTGGTTCAGTGGTTAAGAGCACTGGCTACTTTTGCAGAGGACCCAGGTTTGAGTCCCAGCACACACATGGCAACTAACAACTGTCTTAACTTTAGTTCCAGGGTATTGATGCCCTCTTCTGACCTCTGTGCGCATTGCAGGACATAAGTGCACCTACCTACATGCAGACAACACCTATACAACATAAAATTTAAAAATCCCTGTACTCTTTCTCCAATTGCTTGCTATTGGTATATAGAAAGGCTACTGACTTTTGTAGATTAATTTTGTAACCTGTCACTTTACTAAAAGTGCTGATTAGTTCTAGGAGTTTTCTGGTGGAATTTTTAGGCTCTCAGGTATAGTATCATATCGTCTGCAAGAAGGGATAATTTTACCTCTTATTTTCCAATTAGTACTCCTTTAATTTCCTTCTCTTGTCTTGCTCTAGCAAGAGTTTCAAGTTTAAATTGAAAAGGAATGGAGATAGTGGACATCCTATCTGGTTCCTGATTTTAATGGGAATGCTTCCAGTTTTTTTCCATTTAAAATGATACTGGCTGTGGGTTTGTTGTATATATGGCTTTAATTATGTTGAGGTATGTTTCCTCTAGTCCAATTCCCTCTAGAACTTTTAACATAAATGTATGCTGAATTTTGTCAAAAGCCTTCTCTGCATCTATTGAGATGATGTGGTTTTGTCTTTGCTTCTATTTATAAGATTTATGATGTTTATTGACTTGCATATATTGAACCATTCCTGCATCTCTGGAATAAAGTTGACTTGATCATGGTGAAAAAAAAAATACACATTTTTTAAAATAAAAATTTGATTCTTTGGTGTGGTGGTGAACTTCTGTGCTTCCTGCTACATGGGAGCCTGAGGTGGGAAGATTGGCAACTTGAGACCAGCCTTGGGGATAGGGAGATCCTGTCTGACTTTTTTCTGTTTTTAAATTTCTTCTTCCTGTGTTTAGAAAACATTTTTCAGTTTAAAGTGGTATGTTCAAATGATGGAAGGTTATGATAATTTAATACAGGCAAAGTAACAGCCATTGTGCATGTGTGACTTGATGACTCATAAGTAAAAAATTTAACAGATTTTAAAATCCAGAAGCAGCAGTTATTTATATGATACTAAGTTTTTAATGTCTGAATTTTGTGTGTGTGTGTGAGTACAGAAAAAAAATTCAGGCAATTGCTTATATTTTAACTGGATATGCAGATAATAGTCAACATTCAAGCATTGCTGGTTTCAGTGTCTTATTTTTTCTTAAGGAATCAGGCTAAGTTTAATATTTTTAAAGTAAATTTCCCACCTTTAGTTCATTACTTCATTTTTTTAAACTCTAAGACTGAATTTTCTTTAAAAAAATAAAAACAGCATAGACTAAACCAAGAAGAATAACCCAACAAGTAAACAAATTATCTAAATCTAAATATATAAAATTTATGAAAATCAAAATCAGTAAACTAGCAACTTTTACAAATTTCTTTTTTAATATTATTATTTTATTTTCATGTGTATGAGTGTGTTGCCTGTATGTGAACAAGTACACCTGTGTCATTCAGTGCCCACAGAGGTCAAAACAGGGCATCTAATTCCCCTGGAACTGAAGTTATGAACTATTGTTAGCTGCCATGTGGGTGCTGGGAATTGAACCCAGGTCTAATGCAAGAGCCACCTCTTTAGCCCCCAAATTTCTTAATATAATGAAAGATAGAGAAGATGTTTTAAACGCTAGAAGTTGTGGCACAAGCCATTGATCCCGGTACTCAGGAGGGAGAGGCAGGTGGATCTTTGTGAGGTCAAAGCCAGCCTAATCTACATAGGCTAGGCCAGCTGGGGCTACAGAGAGACCCTGTCTCAAAAAGCCAAAAAAAGAAAAGAAAAATTAAAAAAAAGAAAAACAGCATTGTATATATTTGAATAAAAAACACTGGAAGATGAAAATTGCTTACCAGTTTCTATTTATTTTACCAATACATCTTTATCTAAAACCTAATGAAAATTATTCATATCATAAACTTGATATATTTCCTCAGTCTCTTCTTTCTTCATCCCCAAACCACAAATCTAAGTACCCAACAAATGGAAGTGGAATTTTCTATTTCCCAGCCTTCTCTCACAACTTAGATTTGGAAGAAATTCAGGGCACAGCAAGGAATCTATGTCTCCTGCCAGTCTGTGTCTGTGCATTCTGATCAGCGCCTCCCCTGTAAGGTTTTCCCTACTATTGTTATGTCAATTTAACTGGACATTTAATTTTCAGTTACTTGCAACCTGGCTCTTTCAGTATTAGTGATTCACCTGTGAGTTTTTCACCTTGATTACATTTTATTCCTATTTTAATGGGATTTTTCTCAGTCCGGTTATGTACATAGTATGTAACATTTGGCATTAAAGCCTATTTGTTACTAATGGGATTTCATCACCCTACTTAGGTTGCAATGGTACCCTTTCCTCTTTTATAATTTAGTAACTGTCATGTGGCCATCAGTCACTTTATTGACAATGATGATCAAGTTTAGCTTTAACCCTTTTAAATTCACAAAGCCAAAATGATTTTTCTCTCCTAGGAATGCCAGAATCACCTCCGCAGATATGGAAATGTGAATCTGGAACTGGTGACTCGAATCATTAGAGATGGTGGCCCTTGGGAAGATCCAGTGTTGCAAGCTGTTCTTAAAGCCCAACCAGCATCTCAGGAGATAGGTACTTCAGGAGACTGAAAACCCAACACTATTTGTGAGAACCAGACACAGTGTTTCCTAACTAGAGCAGCAGTGGTCATTCTTTTTAATTTTATAATATAGAATAATGGAGTAATAGTTTCAGATGGAGAATGTTTGTTATTCTAAATTGGCTCAAAGTGCTTTTTGACACTAGACTTGATACATTTCTTTTAATAGTGGGTGTTACTTACAAGAAGTTTGTTTTTGTCCCTTCATTCATATTTTTTAAATTTGTTTAGAAGTACCTTTTTTCTTTTCTTACAAAGAAAACTCTAAAACTCTCCTTTAATTAAAAAAAAAAATACATGGCATCTCTGTTGCATAGAAGTCATCCTGCAAAGGCTGGAACTCTGAATTACTTGTCCCTCATTACTGTGGTATATATACTACAGTGTCTATCTTCTACTAGTTAGTCTAGTCCTCTAGTGCATATAATTGCTTAATACAGACACTTGATTGAATGAATGATCACATGATGAATGAGTGTGGTAATTACATGAATAAGTAAATTTCAATTCCAAAATTGTAGAACAATATTTTCCACACTTTATGAATAAAAGTCAAGTTTTGTTTCATCTCTTCACTACCTTGATCCTTTGATATCAGCTCCTGCCAAACAGATCTACAGTGGATCCTTTTGAGCCAAAATTTGTTACTGATGCAAAAGGCTCTGTCAGCTGCTTCTATCTAGTTAATCCTTTGGTTTCCGATATTATTAAAATGTCCTGAGCCCCAGAATATATTGGATCACGAAAACTTAGAATTTAATCTCAACCGTAGTTCATAAGCACAAAAATGTGGAAACTATTTTGAAAGGGTGGGGTTTATGAAGTACAGCTATAAGAAAGCCAAAGAAAAGACAAGCTCTTTGAACTTGGGAACCAGGCAGACCTTGGTCTTACGAGAAAGACTTTATACTCTAGAGTGTGCTGCTGGGCAGGTTAGGATATTTCCATTTGCACTAAGAGGGGAATGGGTGGTTAAGTGGAGAAGGAGTGTTGATGCCATGTGTAAGTTCAAACCAGCACTAGAGAAAGTGTGGAGCTACAAATAGTGAGAGGACAAAGAGGTAAGACCTAGGAGAAGTAGTGCAAAGTGGTATCAGATAGAATGGGAAGTGGAACAAGAAAGGATATAGGTTTATATGAAAATGGTGTGCAGAAGCCAAAGGATACAAAGGAATCTGCTGCTTGATGTGTGAGTCTTGGAAAGTACTTAAAAGAAAAAAAATCTAAGAGGGAGATGGAACTGAGGAGGAAGACTTAGCTTTATTGAGGCAAATTATAGAGCCAAGTATAGGAAAGATAAGGGTCATATGAAAGGAAACTGGGAAATGTGGCCAGAGATTAGGGTGCTATAAAGAAAGCTACAGATGGAAGGCAGGGGCTGATGAGATGGACTCAGCAGGTAAAGGCCCTTGCTTCACAAAGCGGATGACTGAGTTCAGTCCCTGGATCCCACAGTGGAAGGAGAGGACCCACTCCTAAAAGATGTCCTTTGACCTCTGCAAGCATGCCATGACAATTGCACCCCCCCTCCCATCAACATTAACAATAACTTTAAAAAAAAAAATGCTGGGCGTGGTGGGGCCACCTTTAATCCCAGCACTCGGGAGGCAGAGCCAGGCAGATCCTCTGTGAGTTTGAGGCCAGCCTTGTCTGCAGAGTGAGTTCTAGGCAGCTGGAGCTACAGGGAGAACCTGTCTCAAAAAGACCAAAAACAAAAGGGAAGGAGAGAAGAAAGTTTAGGCTTCTTTGAGAAGGAACTAGAATAGAACTGTTAGCTGGTACAAAAGCTGATGATGGCCTTTAGACTCGGAATCCATTAAAATAATATTCCCCTTTAGAACTATATTAGCATTCCTCACTTAGGGAAAAGCTGCTGTGGAGGCTTATTACTGTTGATGACACTTCTCTATTTAGTGATCATTAGGGTAAAGACCAGATGGAAATTGATTTTTGTATGAACTCTTTAAGTGTTTGCTTATCATACATTCTAAACAAAATTGTAAGGCAGATGATTAAGTCAAAATAAAAACATTATTAATAAACACTTCTGTAGGCAGTAGTGAAACATATGTAAGTAATCAAAAAACTTTTGGATTTAAAAATCATAAAATAGAGGTTCCAGTTCTGTCTCTGTCACTTATACATTTAATCTCTCTGATACTCAGTTTTGTGATCTGTAAAACAGATAGCATAATTAATATTTGCCGTAAGGTTGTTGTTAGGCCTAAATAAACTTAAATAATTAAGTTTGTTTGTATAGTAAGTATAAATTAGTAATCCTTAGTAATATGTGAAAGCATATTATAAGGAGACCTTTTGGCACAATTTTGGGTTGATTTTAAGATATAATAAAACATCTTTTGATTCAACCTTTCCATTCATTTAGATTACATTTCTCTACAGTTGATCTGATTTAATATGCTTTTAATAGCTAATTTAGGATTCAGTCTTTTAAGCTTACAATAAAATATTGGGCCATAAGACAAGTTTGTAACTTTAGACTAAAAAGGCATATTGAACTTGCTACTTGAAACATTTTAAAAAGGAACTGAAAGAAGAAAATTTCATTTTTCCCTTTTAGAGTTTTAGTTGTGTTTCTACTTTTTAGAAGAAATCATCTAGTATTTATTTCTTGAGTACTGTTTTGATGTATCTCTTATTTTTATTTTTCTAGCTAATAGCTAGCTGAATATTCTTTTCAAAAATAAAGTTTTACTAAGGAATATGTTATTTAATTTAACAGATATGATTAATCTAATTAGGATATTTTAAATTTAAATAATTTTTGAGAGTGATAATTTTTTCTTTTTAATATAGTGAACAGATATTTAAGTTCTGAAAATCCACTGTTCTTTGAACTACGTGCCCGATACCTAATTGCTTGTGAACGCATACCTGAAGCAATGGCTCTTATTAAGTCTTGTATCAATCACCCAGAAATCAGTAAAGACTTGTACTTCCATCAAGCTCTCTTCACGTGTCTGTTTATGTCACCTGTAGAAGATCAGCTATTCCAAGAGGTATTGTTTGAGACTTTTTGCCTATTCCCATTTTAACTTTACCCCCCAAAAGCATGTCGTTAAGTTTCTTTTGCAGTTTTACTAAAGATTTAGAGATTACATTATCTAGATCTGTTCTCTTGTGGCACCATTGTTTAAGTTCATGTGAATTAATCAGAATTTGATATTAACAAATGGTAAAATTAAAATAATTATTAAATTTTTAGTGACATAGAAAAATAACTTTTTTTGAAACTATGAGAACATGAAAATATTTCAGCGCAATTTATAATTTTCCTCAAAGAAGAAAACTAGAAATCTGTTAGTACATCCAAGTGTTAAAACACTAACTACAACTAGATTTTTAGACATTTTCAACAATAGGAACCCATTCTTCCTTTTTCTTATAGCATTTGTTGAAAACGGACTGTAAGAGTGGAATTGATATCATCTGTAACACTGAAAAAGAAGGCAAGACTTTGTTAGCCTTACAACTCTGTGAATCCTTTCTTATTCCACAGCTCCAGAATGGGGACATGTACTACATATGGTAAGTGTTCCTGATGCAGAAGCTGAAATGTAAAATGATGAACTGATCAACAGAGTTTGGGCTTTATATTTTCTTCAGAATTGTGTCAAAGTATTTCAACTACTTTAAAAAAATTACTTTCAAATTATGTGTATGTGGGGAGGGGTGGTGGTACATATGAGTTTAGATGCCCATGAAGTCCAGGAAAGACAGTTGGATTCTGTGGAGCTACAGTTACAGGCAGTTGTGAGCTGCCCCATGTGGTTGCTGGGAATGGAATTAGGAAGGAACTGAATTCATTTGCAATGGTAGTACACACTCTTAAACACTGATCCATCTCTGCAGCTCCCTCAACTACCTTTTAAAAAAATGAATTGTGGGGGGAAAAAAGTACACTTAGAGATCTAAAAAATAAATGATCTGTACCACTAATTGTTCAATTAAATGTTAAAATATCTTTTACAATGAAACAGTTGTTTGAAATAGAACATGAGCTTTTAAGAAATGATTTACAAGTTGTTAAGATATATGATAGCAAGTTACCATGCATTGTGAAACTTACAACATGATAGCAGTACCTATCCTTTTGGAGATATTAGGTGAACTCAGGAATGTAATTATAAAAAATTCTATCTGCTTCCTTTCCTCAAGGACACACACACACACACACACACACACACACACACACA